CCAAGCAAGCTGCCCTGGGCTCCTTACCAGAAGAAAAAGGTAGGATATAGATACAGTGAGCAGCAGCACAGAGTCTTTTGCTGAATGTAGCCACTGGCTTTACACCTTAGCATGCTTTAGCTTAAGACTGGTCTTTCCTCACCCCTGCCAACTGCACACTCTAAAGCTTCTCCGGCAGGTTAGGATTGGCCCAGTTATGGAGTTTTGTCTAATTTGGGCAATTTTCCATGTTCCTAGCAGCCTCCCCTTGCCCTCTCCCACATTTTTCATGAGGAGCTTCTGCTGCTTTGGAGGGGTTTGGAGGTAAAGGATGGGAAACTCTTCTTCCATGAACGTCCTTAAATTTGGGAGATCCTAAGACTTCAAAGCAATATATTTGTGCAGCATCGTAAAAAAAATCCTCGTAGAGATGGGTGACTGGAGAATTTTTCTAAAGAGCAGGCACATGCATCAGAACTGGATAGTGGGATGATTTTATTGTGAGGGGTTTTGTTTCACTGCTTATCTTACAACCTAGTCATAAGCTACTGAATAACTGGACTGGTACTGTTGTGTGAAGTGCCTTTCAAAAAGCCATCTGGCATAAACATGCGGGTCAACACAATATTATTATGGGCAAAGGTTGCAAGATTGCTGAACTAATATCTTGGTTCCTCCAATAGCCTTTCAATGGGGTTGAGAAATCAGTTTTGGATCCTCAGTGTTCATAAAGTATTTTTACCAGATGGACTGTTCCATTCCTCCCACCTCTGCCCTCCAAGGGAGTGTGTGTGAAAAAAAAAAAGACTGGGAGGAGGTGAATGAAGACAATGAAATTCATTACAAATCTTTCTTGACCTCTGCTGGTGCAATTTATCAGCATTTCACAGTCTGGCATCTGCAGAAGGAGCTAGATAAAGATGAAAGGGACCATTTATATTAATCCTTAGCCTTTCTACTTTCTCCCTCAGTCCCTAAATCAAGGAACATCTGGTCCTTCTTGCATTCTGCTTACTGTTCACAATGAAACACACTACTGCTGCTGAAGCATTTGAAGCTTAGCTGGAAATGGATGACTGCCACTGTTTAAAACTCTGAAAACCTGGCTGAAGTTAGGCAAGAAAATTCAGACCAGTGATGCTTTCTCTGTCATTCTGCTCCTGTTTTGTCATCAGAGATGAGCTCGACATCTCTCATACATTGGAGCTCCATGCTTAGCCAGCAACTGCCAGAGAAGCTGATAGCTCTGCCCTGCAAGCCTTGCTGTGATACAAGGGAGTATCTGCTTCTTGTGGATATTTACGTGAAGTCTTCACCACTCAATTAAAAAAAAAAAAGATTTGTCCAATCTGCATCATGAGCTGGATGCCTTCTCAGTTTATTGGATTTCCAGACTTGCAATGCATTTCACGGGAAAGGCACAAAAAGGTCTCCAAGGAAATGTGAATGTTTGATAGGTTTTCCAAAAAAAAAAAAAAAATGCAATATTTTCCAAAATGCACAAAAATGTGCTTTGGCAGGTGCATACAAAATGTGTGTAATTGAAAATGCATGCACAAGTGTAGCACTATTTTTAAAATTATGATAAAAATTTAAAAAAATCCAAATGGGTGTATTTCTTTAAAAAGTGAATGCACAGAACATATTTGCAGATGAGAAATGGAGGAAGGCTGTGGAAAGGGACTTGACTCACATAGCTTGGGGACTATGAATACACTAGCATCTCTGATCAGGGCTGTCTATAGTTTTGTGGAGGACTTTGGAAAAGTTCTGTCTGGGGAGCCCTTCTGATATTACTATTCCCCCTGCCCTGGCGACAGCACAGGATTGTGCCAGGCAGAGCTGTCCAGGAGTTCCCATTTAAATGTCTCAGTGCTCTGTGTGCACTATGGGAAAACAGTGGTTACTGACCCGCTGTTGTTGATCCAGCCTCCATTTCAAAAAGGGCAAATCAGCAAAAGCTAATCAAATTTCTCCAAATTCTACCTTGAAACTAATCCTGACACAAATTTGCATCATAAGCATTTCTTCTTGTGAAAATCAATGCATATTTATTTTGCAAATGTAAAGATCTGCATTCATTTCCCATTGATTAAAGTGTATTTGTGTATATTTTTCAAATGTATACATACTGGTGAATTGACTTTCCCCCCTTTTGATCCAGAAATAACTTTAAATGCTCAAAACTGTATGGATGTCAACCACAGATTTAATCTAAATCTGTGTTCAGTCCAGTAGATGTGAACTTGGTAAATCCTGGTCAAAATTAACTGAAACAAACATCCTACACATATGTAGACACCTGTACAGCCTGCTGCACATGCCTTGCCTTCCAACTTCCCCGAATGCTGCTGCTACCACTATAGAAAGCACACCAGGAGAGTCTTCCCCACAAGAATTGGAGAGCTTGCCTATACATAAGGGGAACTCAAATTCCTGCTTCTGTTGTCTTCCTCTGCAACATTTTTAGCAAGTGTGGCAAAGTTATGGCCCTCCAGATGTTTTTGGAGTCCAACCCCCATCAGCTCTGCCAATGAGGAGCATTCTTGACAATTACAATTCAACAGGTATTTGGAGGACCACAAACAAGTTGCCCACCTTGTTTGTAGAAACGTGTTCATCTGAAAGGGCTCCACATACATTGGATGGAACAGCGAGGTTTGTAATCTGTGAAAGCCTAGGCTGAGTTGATTCTCAATAATGGTGAGTTGCAACTGTACAAATCTGTTCATCAGATCAAATTGATGGAAGAAAGTGCTGTGAGTGAATTTAGATATTTCAGATACTTCTGTGCTATATGGTTAATCTGTGGGCAATTATCTGATGTGACACATCAGCATTATTTAAGGAATACAAGCTCAGTGCCGGTTTGTTCCATTCCCTTGACCCTGAATATCACACATCACTTGCTCTTTTTCAGTGTGCTTCCATAGCTTGTTTTTGCTCTGTTTCTAAAAGAAACTACAATTCTTTCCAGAACTATTGGTTTGCTATGCTTATAATGTGTTATACGCATATAACACAGCTTGGGGCACTTTTGGTAATCCCCAAGGCAACATTAGAGGCCAAGGAAAAGGTAAGAGTTCATTTGGCCCCTGCTGACTTTATTATATGGCTCATCACACAGGTTGTTGAATCAGCTGTTGTGTAAAAGTACATTGGATGATTGATTTTTACAAGGGAAATCATATTGAACTTTTGTTTCCGGAATGACAAGATTCATTTCTAAAGAGACATGACAACATCACACTATTGACCAAAAATAAATTTTTAAAATGGCCTTGTCTTTTACAAAAAAAAAAAAAAAAAAAAACATTTCCAATAATGCTGGAAGAATTGTCTTGAAAGAAAAAAAGTTCTGGTAGACAGTGAAAGAATAAAATCTCTATGGCTTCTGTTGTATGCTATATATGAAGTAAACTCTAGATTTTGTCAGGATCCAATGGGTATAAACTCGTGATTGTCTATTATTACACCGTCCTGAGATTCTTGGAGAAAGGGCAGTATACAGATGCAGCTATGAAAATGTGTTCAGGGACTAGGGACTGGTTTTGAAAGAAGGAATATCTTTTATTTAAATGAAGCCATATATTACAATCAGCATTCTGCAATATATTAGCCTGGTGAAGCATGGTGGCAATAGCTATGATCCAGCAGTTTAGCCCCCAATTGTTGGATGCAAAGTTAGAGAACTTGTTTACGATAGTAGGTATGGTGTTGATTTTAGACGTAGGCCAAGCCAATCATTATTTTTAGGCACCCTTAAGATTTAATCTCCCACATTTCCCTAGTTGTCATCGTCATCATCATCATCATTAAAAAGCTTTTGTATGCCGTCCTATTATACAAGATCTCAGGACAGCTTACAATATTTAAAAAGACAATTAAAACAACAATTTCAATAAATAATAAAACAGAACAAAACAATAAATCACAAAACAAACAGAGCAAAACTACTAAATTTAAAAAAAAACTATTACATTTTAAAATACTGTTTAAATAAAAAGGGTTTTGGCCTGCCTTCCCTCCTCAGGTTTCTTTTACACATAGCAAACCCAGGTTCACGTCTGTATGAAACCATGAATCTTGATGACTGGTCTTGCATCTGTCTGTCTCTCTCATTCGCATCATCTGCCCCACAAGAATATTGTGATTCTTACACATGGGCTGACCCACATACACTTCATTGCATTCTTTTTGAGAAAAGGGGATGGGACAAAAAACATAATGAAGGGCAGGGGAAAGTTCATGGACCATGTCTGCGGAGGGATTTTACATAGATTTACATAGGCTTATTCATCCTTTCATTATTATTAGTCATTGGCCAAACTATCCTTGGTGGTGGACGTACATTAGCACTTGAACTGCATGCCACAGAGTGATAAATTGGTCAAGTATGCGCTTGGATCAAAACATCTTTCAACATGTTCTGAAGAGCAGCTGTTCCAAAGCTATTTCATCCCTCATTCCAGGCACAACATCAGACGTAGTTTCTATCAAAGTTTTGGCACACAGATTTTTGAAGACTGCCTGCTTCCATCTGATTCTTCTCTACTCACTGAAGTCTTGAGAGGAGACTCTACTTTGCATCCTGCCAGCATCAGAAGTGTAATTACTGGGAATGCAGTGAGCAGCAGGGCCTTCTTGGTTGTAGCACCTATATGGTGAAAACAGACTCTGAGGAGGTTCATCTAGTCCTTTTCTTCCTAGTCTTTGACACTGAATGAACACAGTCTTATTTTTGTTGGTTCTTCAGCATTGGTCTATATGCTTCTGTTGAGGTTTCTGGCTGTATTACAGATTTTGCTGCTGAACGCTGCCTTGTGCCATGGTGGTACTTTACATTATTGTTTTAATGTCTATTATTTTCATCGTGTTGCTTTTTAAAATTTCCATCATGTTATTAATGTTTCATGTAACTTTGTTTGGCAGACCCCTTTGGAATGGGAAGAATTGAGCATCAATTTTGAAATGTTCAATCAACAAGTTTGCTTCAGCTTAAATTCTTTTCTGCTCCATAGCTTGAGAACTACATTGTGGAAAACATGAAATCGGAGATGGCCCAGCTACAGCAGAATGCGGTTCAGAACCACACAGCCACAATGCTGGAAATAGGGACCAGCCTTCTCAGCCAGACTGCAGAACAGACGAGGAAGCTCACTGATGTTGAAACACAGGTAGGTTTTCATCAGTGAATTCATCAGCAGGATGAGTGCAAAATTTGCTCGGTCAGTATCATTAAGTAAATTTGCTCATCTCAGATTAATGTATGAGACATAGTTAAGCTTTAGTGTATGTTCCCTTCCAAAGTTGTGGTGCACAGCTCAAAACTTGTGTATAAAAATTGCTATATTAGAGGAAATAGGAAAAAATGAATACACTGCTTGCATGTTAGGGGAAATTGCACACACAAAAAAGTGCAAAACTTTGCATTTGTTGTCATTATTTCTACCTTGACAGGCTGATGAAACAGACATATGATTGGATACATCCACAACTACACCCTAAACTAAGGATGAGATCAAAATTGTGATAATGATGTTGGGCGTAGACTTAGAGTTTATAAAAAAGTGGACACGTTAAAATCACTTGGTGTAGTTCAACTTGTTTGAAGGTAACTCTGATCTGGCTATGCATTTTCAGAATTCAAGATAAATTCTATTCCAACAGGTTTTCACAGCTGTGAGATTCCAGACTGTATCTTCTGGTAGAGGGAAAATAGTAACAACTGCCCACAAATCAATGTTTTTCTTTTTGTGATGCAAGAAAAATAGAATACATTGTTCAGGAAGCTCTCTACTGTCCAACTGGTAGAGATCCTAGGAAAAGATTATTGAAATATTTGTAAAACTGATGGAATTATTTTCTTAATATTATTGACCTTTGGTGCTACAGCTTTTGCTAGATGGAGACCCTTGTGTTCTAGCATGTGTAACACAATTTGCTGTTGCTGCTAAGAAAATTGGGGGTAAATCAGGCAAAAGCAAATCAGTTCTGGAGTATTTTTGTTATTTTCATTTGCTAAGTCCAATAACTGTATAGCGATACAGAGAGTGATCCTATGGTCCTTAGATATCACTCAAAAGTTCATTAGACATTCCTTCAGGCCTTAGAGGATTGAAATATCCCCCAAGTTCTCACCCCATGGCTGCTGTGGAAAGCTCTGTAGCAGTTTCTTCTTCCTCTTCTTGTGATCTTGAAATGGAATGCAGAGGGAGGAAAGGGAACATGAAAGTGAGTGGTGCAGGAATGGGGAAGACATGAATGAGCTGGAGTCACAAGCTTCCCAGATCCCATTAGAGATGCATGAGAAATCAATTTCAGTTCATTTTTGATATGGCTTGATCTAATCCATGCCTTTTCATACTGTCCATGGGGTTTTCTGTCCATGGGGTTTACTGGAGTGGGTTGCCATTTCCTCCTCCAGTGGATCACGTTTTGTCAGAACTCTCTGCTATGATCTGTCCGTCTTGGGTGGCCCTGCATAGCATAGCTCATAGCTTCATTGAGCTACGCACGCCCCTTCGCCACGACAAGACAGTGATCCATGAAGGAGAAGGATAATCCACACCTTCAGAGAATGAGGTGGCTAGATGGAGTCATTGAAGCAGTTGGTGTGAGCTTAAGTGGACTCCGGGGATGGTGGAGGACAGGAAGGCCTGGAGGAATGCTGTCCATGGAGTCACAATGGGTCAGACACGACTTCGCGACTAAGAACAACAGTAATCCACACCTTCTAGATAGAACATGGACTTGGATGCAACCCATGGTTGAAGTCTATACATTTTTAAGCTTGTAATGAATAACACGAACAAGAACATTAAATTCATTCTACGCTACCAAATACTTGAACCTTTTTGGGAGGTTTAACAACATTTATATATAATACACAGACAAAAATGTGTTTGACAACAGGCCTACATTTGAAAATCATACATGAAAAAGTATGTGGTTTTTTAAAAAATGGGGCCAAATAAGCTTTACTCAATGAGAGAAGAATGTGTACAAGTGTGCAGCTGATGCAGACATTTAGAAAAATATGAATTAAAATATACACAGAAAGTTGTGCAAAAAAGAGCGTGCAATCTAATACAGAGTTTAGACAGAACAAGCTTCTAGATAGAATTCAAAGAACTTCCGCAACCTTGGATTTCATTGATTTGCATATCCTTAGTTCCTGTTTCCACTCCCAGAAAGGTAAGCTAGTTAGATGAGCTCTGGTGCAAAATAGCAACAACAGCAACAGATTGCAAAGATGGAATGTGAAGCAAGAAGACCTCCAGTATTCCTCCAACTCTGCTTGTCTCTTGCTTAAAATGGATCGATGTGTCCAATATGTCTGTTCTGACATAGATTTGAAAATAGTCTGATTCATTTGTCCTTATTCATTCTGACAAAACATGTTCCTCTTTTCCCCCTTTTTCTGTCTCATCACTTTACATGTGCTATTCCCACTTTGTTTTTGCTCTGGGAGTGCGCGCGTGCGCACACACACACACACACACAAATACTTGCTTGGTTGCAGTGGTTCCCATTAAGTGTTTTGTATTTGGCCAAATGGGATTTGCTTTGTAGCTTTTTACTCCACATGTGTTTTATCAAGCTGGACTAGCCAAGAACATGAGCAACTGCTGACTTCAAATAAACACTCCAGCTACTAAATTTGAACAACAGAAGCATCAGGTTAGATAGATGTGTTTAAAAGTTCTAATTATGCATTTATTATACACAATCACTTCCATATTCTGCTAGCTTGACTCATTTAGCTGCTTTGGATTTCTTGCAAGACAGTCACAGGCACTGGAATGCACTGTTCCTGTGGTGTGTTTGGATCTTGAAGACAATACAACACATTGTGTACATGTGCTGAGTGACAACTGAGCCCTTGTTCTTGCTGAAATAGTAAAAAGTAACAAGGCAATCTGATTTCATGCAGAAGGTTTGTCCACACAACTGGATATTTTTCTATTTTGAAAAGAGAACATTGCATATAGAAAAAAAGTAGTAACAATGCTTGGAAAGGCCTTCTTCCTAGGGATAAGTGGATTTCCCCAGTTACTTGCCCTATTGCTCCACTGGTTCATTAAGTATTGTGTTCCACACATATGTGATTCTGGCTGAAGCTGGAAAAGATTCTACAATTAATTCTTGAATGGGAGTAAATTGGTCAAATATTCCCTTTGTCAGAGGAATGCTCTCTGTTTAAAGAACTGTCAAGTCTACATCCTGTTAAAAGATAAAGAACTGAAGGAGGAGAAGAGGCAGACTTTAAATTTATTTATTTACTTATTTAAAACTTTTGTATGCTGTGCAATTGTGCCACAGCACTTGTAGGTGGCTCACAATCACAGGATAAAACACAATAAAAGCCAAGCACATTAAGATACAATGTCAATAAAATACAGACCAAAAATACCAAACAAAAGGTCAAGTGGTGAAAATAAATAAGAAAGGGCTTTCCCTAGTATCGAAAAGAATATAGGGAAGGTGCCAGGGGGATCTCCTTGGGGAGAGCATTCCAGATATGGAGAGCAGCTGCAGAAAAGGCCCTCCTCCTAGCAGCCATCGCTCTCACCTCCCTAAGGATGGCTCACACCTAACTCTTTCTGTGTCTTCTGGCTGTAATTTAATAGTGACCCAAAAGGAGCCATATAAAAGGACTAGAGGATTTATAAAATCTGTCTGTCAGTTCCAGTGCTTGTTGAGAACCCTTCACAGGCATGGTCTATATCTCATGAAAGGGGAGAAATAACTTCCCAAGGACAGTTTCTGATACTTATCCATTGGCCCTAACTTATCAAGAATCCTTTAATTTCTGTTTGTTCTTTGATTATATCTATCATTTCACAATTCATAATTCTCTGCCACCCTTTCTTTTCCTTGCAGTTTTGAGCATATGGTATGCAACAGTTTCTGTGTATCAGACTGTCTGTTTAAATCAAATGTATTTGTGTGTGTCATCATTACATTGGCCAGTTAGTTCAAGCCTTGACTGATGTTTACAATGTCTTTTCCGAAAATGATTACTTAAATGCATGTCAAATACAGAATAATGAGATCAGTTACACAAGAAAGAACAATTAATTTAGTCTAGCTAGAGATAACATATACATTGTGATGACAATATATTCTTACACAAGCTTTTAACTTCTTCATTTTCTATAAAAGGGCTTATAAAAATTTCACAGACAATTACCCTAGCCTGCAGGTAATGGAATATCGGTGTGGGAAATTTCTGAAACAAAAAATTCTTTCTTTTCAACCAGAAGAAAAGCTACACAGTATATACTTGCAATGCATTGAAAGATAGTAAGCACATCAAGAACAACTGCCCACTGACCATTACTGCACTTGCACACTTCCTGGTGTGCTGTGACTTAATTGCTGTATTTAACTGAAGAACAAACAATTCCTTAATTGCATCACATGTATCTGAGGGCATGCAGACATGTAGGAACTGCACTGAAAATAGTGACCCTGTGACAAGTCACCCCATCCCCTTAATGTTTAGTTAGACTGGCACTACTATCTGAAGAGGTGAGGCGGGAAAAACATATTATGTGGTATCACAATATGGTGAGTGTGCATAATGCAACAGTTCCCCCTTGTCAGGATAACCACTTCTCAGAAGTGCCAGCTCTCATCTTAGAAATAACATATGAGTTACTCAGAATAGCTAGTTTCATAGCCTGAGCCCAAAGACATATTTAATGGTTTAAAGCTGGGGTGCAGAGCCTGAGCAAATCTTTCCCTCCTGGACGCCCAGTCCAGCCTTCCAGGATTTCCCAGATAACCACGACCCCTTTCCCCATTTACTGATTGGTGGACTTCTTCATGTTTTTTCCTGGTAAAGGCTTAGGTGCTGGAAGTAAGAGCTTTAGACTATGGTATGCTGGTATTGTTGGTGCTTTGGCCCTACCTTCACCTCCACCACACTTTGTCTTTGGAGTTTTCCCCCAGTGGTCAAAGGCTCCAGGTAACTTCTCTAAACTGGAATTCAGTCCTCAGTCAGAAAGATGTTCTCTCCTGGCTTAAAGTGATTGGGTACTTGATAGCCAGTGTTGCCTGGTGGTTGGATTATTGTACTGGAACTTCAGAGGTCTGAGTTCTTGTCCCCACACAGCCATGCAGTGGGTGACCTTTTGGCCAGTCACTGACCTCAGTCAAACCTATGGAGAGGAGAGTTAGGTAAACTGCCTTGAGTTTCTTGGAAAACAAAGGTGGAATATACATATAATAAATTAAATATTTATTAATATGTAATAACTCAATCGCTTTGCATCCTGTTAACATAGTCAATGAGTCTTATGTCCTGCAACAACTCGGCATTTGCCCAAAGGTGTTTCATTCTCTTCACCAAACCATTCTCAGCAATGAGAGACATGGTGATCCATGGATGCCATGTTCGTCCTCCAGAGCCTGATTGCTTCAGCATCCTAGAAAAAGCTTTCAAGACATGCATGAGAAAGGCTGGTTACCAAGTCAAGTAAATAAATACATGCGGCAGTCAATGAGGCTTTGGCTTCTTGTCACCATGCGCATCACATTTTTAGGTTTTAGGAATGCACTTGAAAATGGAAAATAAAAATGCAACAGTCATATATTTGGAAAAAATGCATATTGTCTAACTCTCTGGACATCTGATTGGTATGACCTTGGGAGGTTGATCTGGATTCCTTTGCCATTGGATTCTACAGTCAGTTTCTTCACTACTATTTTAAGTGAGGTTATTTGGCCAAGATACTGGGAGGCTGTACTGGGGCTGAGATTAAGAAAGAGAGAGGAGGAATGTAGACATACTCCCATGGAGGTACACTATATCTGAAGCTATGAGCCTGGTATAAATAAACCTAGACCAAACATAGCAAAAGGGATAATGATATATTAGAAGTTCTGTTTACAGAACAGGAGCTGAGGAGCAGGTTTCCTTGTGTTTAAATTGGAATTACCTTGGAAAGCTTCTGAGATAAATGCACCTCGTAAAAGAACAATGGAATGCCTTTTTTCCTGTAGCAACTGAAATATAATTACAAGTCAGTGTTTCTGTGTTTTGCAGGGCTGCTGTTCTTTATATGCAGCTGCCTAAATTGCCTAAGTAATAGGTGTGGAAAGTTATTTATGGTACATATTGAGGATGTGTTAAGTATCATCATCATCACATTTATAGTCGAACTTTTTCCTTTTGCAAGGAACACAAGGCAGCTTGTAAGGTTCTCCTCTTCATTTGATCCAAACAGCAACAACCCTGTGAATTCGTGACTGGCCCAAAGTCACACAGGAAGCTTCATGGATGACTAGGATCCAGATTTCCTGACTCCCAATTCAACACCCTGACCACTATACCACACTGACTGTTGGGAAAGGACAAATCAGTCAAGTCTTATCTTGTTGAGTTTCTCATTTTACCACCATCAAGTTTATTTGGAAAAGGATCCATATTGGATTACAAACCTTTATCCCACAAGGAAAAGTGTATATATTTCCAGACATATTTTTCAAAAATATAAATTGCTTTCAAATGTACACATTCTTTCAACACACATTCCTGATGCACACCATTTTGTGAGTGTGTGAGAGAGGCGGGGGTGCAGTTTTTCCTCCTAAAACAAATTACGAGCCTTAGAAATCTGCAGATTTCATCAGAAAAAATGTATTCTATTCCATGTTTAGTCTCTGGAAGGGTGAATTAAAATCCAACAAATCTGTTATCCATTCTTATTCAAAGTTGACTCCATCTCATTTACACATCCATTTGACAGTTTTTTTAAAAATATATATAAAATATGCAAATGTTAATATTTATTACCAAACAAGATATAACTATGCTTTTTCATTTGTCTTCCTCAGGTACTAAATCAGACATCCCGATTAGAAATTCAGCTACTGGAAAACTCATTGTCTACTTACAAGCTGGAGAAACAACTGCTTCAACAGACACATGAGATCTTGAAAATCCATGAGAAAAACAGGTGAGTGTGAAATTCTTGGATCATCAAGTACCAGTTGAGCTCACAACTGCTATCAGTTCTTGGCTACCGCTGCTATAAAAGCACAGAAGGAAAAACTAAGCCTGGTTGAACAAGGCAGAAGTCAAGCTACTCCAAAATCTTCCTCAAAGTGCATTTTACTTTGTTTGCGTAACAGAACTTGTAAATATGCAAGAGAACATTTGTGTGTATCTTTCTACTTGAAAAATATACATTTTGAATCATGCACATACTTCCTGGCCAAAAATGGCCATTTCCCTCTAGGGCAAAAAAGAAAATGTTGATTTGGGAAGATGAATTTATGCAAATATGCACTTGTACAATCTCACAAATAGTTCATATTGAACAAACTGTTCACATGTATGCACACTTTTGAACACAATCAGAAGTTTGGGAAATTGAAAACTTTGCAGGAGAATTGCATTTCTGCTCATCTTCACCTAGGAGGCTGCCAATGGGAACCCAATGCATAATTTTTGGATGGGAATGAAAATCTCGTACATCTCTAGGAAGAACACTGGGAGTGCCAAATATTAATTCTCACTGAGAGTCTAGTTTTCTGTGTGTGGAATGAACTTGTTTATATTTGGGGTCTCCAACATGCCTGTGGAAATCTTTCTTGGCACCTGCCAGACTGCTTCCTTGTCCTTCTGATTTATATTTTATTTTAGATATATTTGAAAATAAATAATTTACTGGGATGCTGCCATGCTGCAAAGGGAAATGTCAGCTTCCAGTGCCATCTGTATTTCCAGCACCTCTAAGCCTAGTGTATTGTCTCTTGAACTGGTTGCAAGTGCAACCAGTTGCAAGTGCTGGAGCAAGATAAATGTGGGTTCAAAAGACGTGGGGAGTTTTAGACCTCAGACCTTACTCCCTCCATTTTGAGGCAGCCATATTGTGAGAATGCCCATGACAATTTTTCAATATTCTGAATGAACTCGTTTATCCAAAAAGACTGGAACAGTGGGTTTCTATGGAGGAGCATTTAAGCACATTTGCCCCCACCTGTTGTCTGAAATACTACAGACAAAATGTTACCCACTCAGGAAGTACTAATGTGCATATACAACAATATAAACTAGGAACACTGGAGAAGACCTATATTTCTGAATGCCTAGTTGAGATAAGCTGCTCTGCACTCCAGCAGTAAAAAAAAGCAGACTCTCATGGAATACCAATGGATATTTAGTGAAATGTCTAGGGAAGTGGACCACCATGACAGACCTGAGCAACAATGTGGTATAACACTGTGAAATAGATGAGTTTATATCCAACCTCTGCAGCTCACAACTGGCAGCTCACAATCCGAGAGTCATGGCAGGGAAGTGCTGTCGATGAGGGTCAGGTGGTCCTGCACAGCAAGACATTCAATCAGGCCTAGCCTTAACAGTAGCTGCTTCCTTCCTATAATCCTTTGAGTAGATCATTTCTTCCCTTATTTACTCTCCCAATTTCACCCCATCCTCATATTCAAAACTCTTTATAATGTAGGCTTTTGCACATGCTCAAGCCTTGGGAGTACTTTGAAATAAGTATTATATTTTGCAAACCTGGAAGTCTCCCAAGTCTGAATAACTCCCCCATATTGTCTGTGGGTGGCCCCATTCCACTGCCCAGTTGGTCAGCATGAGACCACCAA